TCAACTGTCTAGTGTATGTGTGAGAAGTAAGCTGCCATGAGAGTGCTCAAGAGACAGTATCCCCTCATTGCTGGTGGTAGCATCAGCAAACACCTCCACTGGAAGGCAGCGCACAGCCTCCTTGCTTGGACCTGGTACCAGCATCATGTACGAACCACGCTCAGATTATCACTCCACACAGTTCCTCTACAATCTACGAGGTTTTCTTCTGCAGAGAGTATGGCACAGAGGACAGTCCTTCTATTCAGCTATAGAAAGTATCTGTCCAGAAAGAGTGATGGCAAGTCCACCCCTAGATATTTTTGCTAGCTTTTACTGACAGCAGTTCTACTGGCTTGTAATGAATTTTGAAAGTGAAGCCATGGTCCTCTAAGCCTGGCAGCACTCTCAAGTGGTGGCACTTTTTAAAATATCCCTCAACCAAACTATCTTGCCGTATCTGCCAGGACCCTGAGCCTCTAGGAGAGCGTGTAGGGAGTGGTTTCTATCCCACTGTAACAGTGGAACAAGTCCAAGGCTTCCTCATGAAATTGAATGTGTATAAGTCCATGGGGCCAGATGGTGTCCATCCTAGAGTTCTGAAAGAGATGACTGATGTGGTTGCGAAGCCACTCTCCATCGTATTTGAAAAATCATGGCTGTACAGTAAAGTCCCCAGTGATTGGAAAAAGGGAAGCATTACTCCTGTTTTTAAGAAAGGGAGAAAGGAAGACCAGTGAGAAAAGGAAATACAGGCTGGTGAGCTTCAATCTGTGCCTGGGAAGATCATGGAGCAGATCCTCCTAGAAGCTATGTTAAGGCACATACAAGACAAAGAGGTGATTCAAGACAGTCAGCATGGCTTCACCAAGGCCAGATCGTGCCTGACCAATCTGTTGGTCTTTTATGATGAGTGATGGCTTTGGTGAACAAGGGAAGGGCAATGGATGTCATCTATCTGGACTTCTGCAAGGCCTTTGATATGGTCCCTCACCACATCCTTTTCTCTAAATTGAAGTGATGTGGATTTGAAGGATGGACTGTTGGATGGATTAGGAATTGGCTGGCCGGATGCAGCCAAAGGGTTGTGAACAATGATTCTGTGTCAGGGTGGAGGCCGGTCACAAGCAGTATCCCTCAGGGCTCAGTCTTGGAGCCAGCCAGCCCTTCAACATCTTTATCAGTAACATAGACGATGGCATCGAGTGCACCCTCAGCAGGTTTGCTGATGACACCAAGCTGAGCAGTGCTGTCAATACATCGGAAAGAAGGGAAGCCATCCAGAGGAACCTGGACAGGCTGGAGAAGTTGGCCCATGAAAAACTAATGAGGTTCACTAAGGCCAAGCACAGGGTGCTGCACTTGGGTCAGGGCAATCCCAGGTACTTATACAAACTGGGGGAAGATTTCCTTGAGAGCAGCCCTGCAGAGAAGGACTTGGGGGTCCTGGTGGACGAGAAGCTGGACATGAGCCAGCAGTATGCGCTTATAGCCCGGAAGGCCAACTGTGTTCTGGGCTGCATTAAAAAAAGGGTGGCCAGCAGACAGAGGGAGGTGATTGTCCACCTCTACTCGGCTTTTGTGAGGCCCCATCTGCAGTACTGCGTCCAGGCCTGGGGCCCCGATACAGGAAGGATGTGGAGCTCTTGGAGCGGGTTCAGAGGAGGGCCACAAAGATGATCAGAGGGCTGGAGCACCTCTGCTATGAGGAAAGGTTGAGGGAACTGGGCTTGTTTAGCTTGGAGAAGAGAAGGCTCTGGGGAGACCTCACTGCAGCCTTCCAGTACTTGAAGGAAGCATATAAACAGGAGGGGGAATGGCTGTTTACAAAGGTGGATAGTGATAGGACAAGGGAAAATGGTTTTAAACTGAGACAGAGGAGGTTTAGGTTAGATATTAGGAGGAAGTTTTTCACTCAGAGGGTGGTGACGCAGTGGAACTGGTTGCCCAAGGAGGCTGTGGATGCCCCATCCCTGGAGGCATTCATGGCCAGGCTGGATGGGCAGCCTGGTCTGGTGGTTGGTGACCCTGCACATAGCAGGGGGGCTGAAACTAGATTATGATTGTGGTCTTTTTCAACCCACACCACTCTATGATTCTATCTATGATCTTCCTGTGATTTCCGTGGCATTTCCACCTCTGTTATATGTTTGCTTCTAGAGCTTACAGTCATTCTGCCTGATAAACTACTATAGATCCCATATTATTAACAGTGACAGCAGTGAGGGAAGTGAGAGGGTATGGAGAGAAACATTCAAAATGCCACTTTACTGAGGAAGATGTTTTCTTTCTTTTAGGAGCAGCTAAATGAGGGTGGATTGGCCTTGGGAAGAATGTGTAAAATCAGTCCTCTTCCTGGCTTATCCAGCCTCAGAAGGAGCTGCGTCCATATGGAGACCCTTGCACAATTATGTCTTCACATCATATTTTCCAACATGATTCATATTTGGTCCAGACTCCTTTCAGATGGAGGCCAGGGAGATATTGTGTGCATCCTTACATGCCTGTTCCCAATAAATTTCACACACCTCTTCAGAAATTCAATAGGAGCTTTGAAAGCAAACTGAGCTGCTGCAGCTTACACTGGGCTTATGCCCAGACAATGTGTGCTGCTCAGTCAGACTTTGAAAAGTCCAAACTGAAAATAAAAAGATCAACTATGGAAAGTGAATTTTCACCTACTTCAGCTACTTTTTGAGACTACCAAAAATGCACAGAACATGGATTCACTGCCCCACTGAGAACGAATGACATTTTCTACAGCTATCAGCCCAGCTTACTTAATGAGCCCTGAAACCACTTAAAATGTGCGGGTGTGTGCATGCATGCATGTCCTGGAGGGCAGGGAGGCAGAGGGAACCAGAGACATCTTATCAGAAAACACAGTCTGTTTGGCACACACAATCTTATCTAATTATTCAGAACATTTAACATCACCTAACTCCAGATAAGAATCTCTTTCCTCCTCCACCACCCTCTCTTTGCTGAAACTTAATACACAGAGACTAACACAGCACAAAACCATCTCACTGAACTTGGAGATGCAAGACGACAACTCATGACCTTTGCCATTGAGTGCCAGCCAAGTTACATATGTCTGGGAGTCTCAGGAGGCCGACATTTGTCACCACACTGACAGTGAAATATGGCTGAGCCCATTGTTTCACAGAAGTGCAGCAGCAGCCTCAACCCTGGCTAGTGGCAACAAGGGGCAGCTTGCAGGCTGTCACACAGCGTTCCCTGGGAGACCCTGATGTGCTGTGCACCTAGGACAATTCTTTGGGCCTGGGAGAGGACACAGCCATCAGGATGATGGGAAAGCTCAGAACGTCTTTGGAGACCAGGACCTTCATCACTGCCAGCCCTGAAAGGGTGAACAAATGTCATGCTTTGAGAAAGGCTATTACAGCTCGTAAGAAAAAAGTCCTCCCTCAGCAAAGCAGTGCATTTCTGCAATAGGCTGCTACTTGTGAATCCTGTGTTCTTCAAACTGGGGGTTGCTGACTCTCCTGTGCACATTTCATTTAGCCAAGGGAAAGAAACTCTGAATCAGACTGTTTACTTGGGTGTAGCTGCTCTTCCACTGCGATGGCCAAATTTGTCTTGGAGACTTAGAAAAACAGCCAAAGGCCAAGCAGGCTGCCATATAGCTATTATTCATCATTTGGTGGCCACAACCAAATGGATACAACTGCAAGGACATTTTGCACTATGTTAAATAGACATGCACAAAAACCAAGTAGCAGGATGCTTAATCTGATTTCTGCTGTGTGGGAAAGCTCTGCCTCCAATTACTACCTTACAGCAAGGACTGAATTTAACTCGCTCCTGAATTAATCTCTCAAATCATTTGAATTTGAAGATATGTTTTAAAACAATCCTGCCTTTCCACATTTCTGCAGATGAGAATACCAGAACCACCTAGATTTTGACAACGCTCAACTTTTGCACACACATCTTTCACTTAAAGAGTAACATTGTTCCATTCTTGTACCAAGAATGTTGTGTCCTTGCCCATCATTGAGAACTGACAAGATAATTGAAAACATTACAGAAACCATGCTGTGATAAAGACACCAGAATACACCATTAATGGGGATGCCTTATTTTCATTTTTAAACACCTATCTGCAGCTATCTGTGATGACAGTGGTCTTTTTCTGTAAGCTGAAGTAAAGCTGCAAGCCACATGCAACCAGATCAACACTCTGTTGCCAGCCGTATTTTTCCAGGCAGTGACAATCTCTGCCCCTGCTACTCTAACAACTACACTGCTGGATAATCGAAGAAAGGCTCTCTTGCTTCTCCCCCATCTAAGGATATTTTCGATCACAGTGAGTCCACAGGTTCCACCCTCACTGCTCTCCAACAAAAAAAAAAAAAAAAAGAGAAAGAAATCTCTCTAAGCTGTTCATGGGAAATGAAATGGGATTATCCCAGCTCTTGTCATCACCAAGATTTTCAGGCTTTCAGACACCAGACGGTACCATGAGGTTGCACTTTTCTTCCTTTCAGCATCCCAAACTGCCAGGTTTATCTCACTTCTGATACTGTACTTGAAAATATACCAGCAGACATGCAGTGATACAAGAATAAAAGCATTGATTCTAAGTGCAAATATTTGCTTTTCTGCTTCTAAGCACTGTAGTGTTTGACTCTGCTAAAATTGAAGACCCAAGTGTTCATCCAAGGCTATGGTAGCACAGTATGAATACAAGCTTTCTTCTTTGTTTTTGCAGCAACCTTAAGCATTCTCTTTCTAGAAGCAAAATTTCTTATATGATTTTCTAATCATAGATGCCTCTATGATTTCTGGCACACTACAGGAGTATTGCTGTGATAAATCCAGTAGGAACACTCCTTTTTTTTATATGTAAAAGACTGACCATTCTTCTTTTTTGCGTTTAGCCATATGTCATTGTAGAGTAGAGGAACAAGGGTGTTGTTTTCACAATTTTTCATTTTTTTTATCTTGGTCAGCAGCCTTTTTTTAAAAAGAAAACAAACAATTATTAATCATGCTGAATTTTTTTATTCGTGTTTTTATTTCTGAACTCTAAAAATAGCTCCGTGTGTTAGTCCCCTTAAAAGAGGATTTCAATACTTTAACTGTAGAGTAGCAATCAGAAGAATACAATAAATAGTTCCCCGTGCATATAGATGGGTACACCCAGTTCAATATTCCATCTGACAGCAGAGGCCTACAAAAGGGACTAAGACAAAGTCAGTGTGCAGTAATGCCCTCTCAGCCTCCTGCAATTTGAAGGTGCTCCAGTTTGTATATCGTAGACCTTGGTGAGTTGGGTGTTTCAGGAGGAAAAGTCATGCATAAGACTGGAAAAATACACTGAGGAAATGAGACAAATATCAGAACTCTGCTAAAGTCAACAGATTTACATTTGAATAAAACTGGTAGGAGAAGAAAAGTAAAGGTAGATTTTAAAACAGTCTGTGAATAAGCAGAAGAATTTATCTTGACTGAAAACAACAGGAATACATCATGGTAATTTTTATCCATCTCTGAGCCAATTCTTAGCTTCAGAGTGTAAGCTCTTATTACTCCATACATTTCTTACGTAGTGTTGAACAACCACACTATTCCATTTCATTTCACTTCAGTACATTTGGGACATGTTCTTCATAGGCAGAGATTAGAGCAGGAAATTCAAACCATCTCAAAGGTAGGAAGCTCCAGTCTACCCAATACAAGGAGATGCCTAAGTAGCGTATCACACCCCTTACCAAGCAGGCTAGCCACTTCTGGAGGGTGGGTGTGATGGCCCTGATATCTCCACCCGTTTGGTGTTGGACGTCTAGGAGAAAGCAAGGAAGCAGTGAGTGCACATCGTGTGTAATGTTGTCTTGAATGTTCTGAGAGGTTCAGAATGGCAGGCAAGAAGTCAGGGAGCCAGGGATGAGACAACCTGGAAGGTAGCAATACAGGTCAGGTCTAATGGCTAGATCTCTGCCAGCTCCAGTGCCAGGATTCTCTGGAGGACAACCTGCAATCTGCTTCTTTCTGATGAGATGGTTGACTACTGTCTTATCCTTTCTCTTGAGAATTATCCAAGCAAGCAGAGACATGCCAGAAAAAAAACAGAAGGTCTGTGTAAAAACACAAAAATATTTACTTTTGAGTGCAGCACTGAAATATCTACTATCACAGTACAAAATCAAACTGTGTCCTCCTAAAACTCCTTGTGATCACATTAAAAAAAAAAAAAAAAAAAGTAACTCCTGAGAAAAGGGAATACATTAATTCTGAGTGTCTTGGTGATGTTATAAGCACAGGGTACATCTCCATTGTCCTCTCTAGAAGTCGTTCTAAGACTCAAGAGATGTTTCCAAACTTGTTTTAACTTAATTATGCTGAATACTGACAACAACAGAACTAAGGAAGATGAGCTATACCAAGTCAAAGTCCTTATGGTTTCTACTCATTTCAAAGTTCATGATGAAGCTTATTACAAGAACAGCAGTTCCTTATTGCTGAGAACACTAGTCATAGAACTGTGTAAACATGAAAAGCTTCAGTTCTGGGTATAACTATCCACCACCTGCTGCTTTCCAAAACCATTTCAAGAGCCCAGTTCCCAGTGAACGTGTCCATACCACAGAACCAGTCACACCTTGTACCTTCTCACATCTCCCTTGAGCACTTCCAGACGGAACACCCCTCTGCTCTGAGGCATAGTTCTGCCTGAGTACTGCAGGTCATCAGTGCAACAGTATTACAGAGGATGTAATTATGTTCTTCAGAAAGAGAGAAAAAATCATACTTACAGTGACATTGCTTCAGGGAGTAAAATTTGAAACAACCCCTCCTTGTTTCAAAGGTATAAATAACTCAAATATCTTACCTTTTGAATGCTATGAATGCTGTAATGTGCTCCTCTCTTGCATTTCTCACAGTAACAAAAACAGTGCTTCAGTGAAGATAGGATAAACAACAGCAGACAAATCTTATCTGTGAACATAGTTGCATCCTTACAGCTGAAAAGTAATCAGAACATTAATTATACAAATAGCCAACAGAAAATAATTGCAGGATTTGATTATGTACCTATATGACAGCACCTCTAGCCCTCATATTCAAACAAAACCAGGTTGCATAAGCAATGATCCAGTGAAATAAATTCCATCAGAGAAACAAGTATATGTTTATAGATTTGGAGATCAAAGCATAAAGATGATTTCAAGCAGAGAAACACTGGCATGTAAACACGATGAAAGTGTTCCTTCTGGTCCCAAGCAATGTCTTACAACACCCTCTGCGAACCTCTAAAGGAATACCTATGTGCAGGCCTGTTGGTGTTGTTTCAAAGAAAAAGGAACAAAAGTTCTTGTTAAACTGACAAGACTTGCCTGTGGTAAACAAGCAAGATGTTGAAATCTTTTTCTAATCCACTTCCAAAATGATTTTAAACTCTGAGATTTCTCCAAAATACTGTTGTTTAAAGCCTAGTTGTCTCCAACATAAAAAGAAAAAATGGTTATCAAGCCCTGCAATACACGGCTTATATGGTTGTCTAATCATAGAAGCCCTTACTGTTTCATCAGAAGCACTGCATCTCTTCAAATAGTCAATTATAGTTTTAAGATTCACATCGAATTTATTTCACTTGGCTTTGGCTTTCACTTTTGCCTGCAGACTTCTATTTATTTTGTTAGTTTCTTTCTGTAATTTTACACTATCCAGTTTTTTTCTGGAATTTATGGTGTCAGCCTGCCTCCAAACAGACTTCTATAGCATCTTTCCAGTGCCTGAAGTAGGATGGCAGTTTCTTCAGTTTATGTGAAGCACTACATTCACCAGCTACTTTCTGTCTAGCAGAGCTGGACACTGAGAGCAGATGTCTTGAGGCAAGGTCAGCTGTACAGAGCCCTCACAAAGCCCCAGCCTAAAGCACAGCCACACATCTTCTGAGTATTCCAGTCCCAGCCTATTGGCTGGTAGGTAAGGTGTGCCCCAGGGGAAGATAAGGAAGGCAAAGAGCTGGAGCTTTATGGGGGTGCTTCTCACTGACCTCACCTCATCCTGCCTCTGAACTTCGAGCACGTGCCCAAACGTTCACACGCCTTGCCTCTGGGAAGTAAGCTCTGATTCTGAAAGATGCTGAGAGACGGCTGAAGCTGCAGGACAGTAAGAGCCAAGCACTATGTTTAATATCTGCTCTCTGAGAATCGCTGCTGACTTACCATTTTAATTTACATCTTTCTTGCTTGGACCTTTTTTAAGGCTGAGTTCATAGGTTCCACAAGTATAATTCAAACACCACAATCACAATCTGCACTGGGCAGTGGCTTGATAACAGTTATGACTGTCCTCCCACTCCTGAGTTGTGTAGATCAGCTCAGGAGCACAGTAAAGAGCTCACTCCAGATGTCTTGAGAGGAATAATATGACTGGCAAGGTTGTCTCAGGTTTTTCCTCAGGCTTTTTCTTTGTGGAAGCAGCCCTGTCCCTTTAAAATAACATTGTTTTCTTTCTGAATATTATTCTACAATAGTACTCATGACGGAATTGAACTGGCAACAAACTCTAACTTTCTAAAATGTCAACACTACAGCTGTTGTATGAGCTGCTGAGGGCACGAGGAAAGTGAAATCTAAAATGGACAGAGTGGGTGCTCTCAAGATGGATCCATCCATCTTTCACTGACTACTGATAGGATTTCACTAGTTTACATTACATACCAGGCTTTCACACTCTTAAAATTAGGTGAGGTGAATCTCATTTTCAGCAATTACAGGAGCTTGAGCTTTATGTTTTGAATTCTGAGGTGATGAGCTCTATGAAAAACAGCTCATCAACAAAATTGGGGGCCTGTGGCAGCTTAACAGCACTGGTGAGTGTCAACAGAAGGAAGACCCAAGCATTTGGTTTCTTCTGATTCTGATTGTGAATGGTGATTTTGACCAGCTCTTTCTGTCTTTACTCCATCTTTTATAACAAGTGAACAAGTGTTCTCTGAACAACCTTCTTACTGTTACTAATCTGAGAAATGCCAAGCACCAAATATCAAGAGTAATAACAGCAGCATTTTCAAAAACGTTGCAAAAATCTTTGCCAAAATATTTTGCACAGCAGAATAAACCAAAACTCTTACCCAGATGATAGCTCTGCTATACTCATACAAACAACAAAAAGTTTTTCACCCTGTTATGGTGGTGCCTTGAGAGTAAATAAATTATCCCACTGCAGGCTACAGTCAAACCCCTGTTTTCTTCACACTCGTATTTTGCTGTGAAGGTGCTGACTAATTCAAGAAAAGCTGGTAGCCTGCCAGTACTTTCCCATAATTTCCCTTGAGGGATAAACAGATTCTCCCCAAATTGACTGAGAAAGTACAGGGCAAGGAATTATGCAGCCAGATCCATGCAACAAATTGTAAAAACAATGAAGAAACAATTACACACATGTGAGAGCGCAGTTCACACCCAGCGTGCATTAATTTGTGTGCTGAGACCTGAGAGACCAACTCTTTCTCTGAAACTGAAATAAAAACATCCTGTAAGGGTAACCTGCATGTCCTTGAAATTTGAAATATTGTATCATAGGGGAAAGCTTATTAATTCTGAAAATACCTGTTGTCAAGGATTTCTGGGACTGTCACTAAAACACGGTAGAATAGTTCTGTAGAAGAGGTTTTGAATACAATGACAAGGATGATGTTCAAAAAAGAGACTAAATCAGCTGGGATTTACCAGCCTAGAGAAAGGACAATGAGGGCAAAATAGAAGCAGCACAAATAAGTGTAAGTATAAAAAAAAAATATGAAGAGAGTTGTTCATTATTTCTCCGAATGAAGGAATGAGAAAAGATGAAATGAAATAAAGATTAAAACAGGAGAATATGGGCTCTTTTCATGTAGATTCTAGTTAAACAGTAGAACTCATTGATGGCAAGAAGTGTCAAAAATACAGAGAGAGATAAGAAAAAGTCATGGAGAAAGCATCCATCAGGAACAAATGCCTGGGGAATCAACAGATGGCTCAGGAAGTCTGGGCAGCAAAACTAGGGAAAACATTCTTACTTGTTTGCCTTGTCCGTATGCTTCTTCCCCAAACATATGCTGTGGATGATTGTCAGATTTTGACAGGTTTTCTGCATTTTTGTCCTGACCCAATGCAGTCTTTTTTTTACACACGTAATCAGTGTCTATCTTCGGATCTCTCTTTCATTGCTCTGTTTATAAATATTTTCTGAGCTTTTGCAGCGTAATATTACCTTCAAAGTGCATTTTTGTCAAGGCTGGTTTTTTAATATTTCATATGTCCATGTTTCTCAAGTTATCTGTTGGGTCTTTGTCTCCAGAAATTCACTGACTTTGTCATATTGAGGACTCTGATCTATATTTCTTGATAGAAGCTTTCAGACATAATGAGACTTCCTCTTCATGTGTGTTTTTTCTTAAACCTAATCAAAACAAAATTAATATTTTTTGTGAGCAAAATAGAAAAAAATATTTAGAGACATTCTTGCCAGTATTAAACAATCAAACTGCAGTAACGAGTAAGCATGTTATGAATACCAAGTAAGGCTACATCAACGATTAAAATAAATAAACAGAAAACTCTTTTCAGCAATTTGAGGACCATATTTGATGCAATGCATTTTTTTAACTAGCCATCAGAAGTGTGAGTATGAGTAAGATGCAAGAGCTAAAAACAAAAACAATGAGCCAGTGTTCAGGCTTACAGAAGAAGGAAGTATGAGCGAGTTAAAAAGCAACAGAGAAGTGGTAAATAGGCAAAATAATAAATGCAAATAAATCACAGCTGCAGAGGGAATTACGGAAAGTTAAATGTTTGATGATGTGAAATCTAAGTAGTTTAATTCTATGTGTTAATTATTTTGAGTGCCTTTTGCAGCATGCTGAGTCTAGTGCAACAGTATGAATCACTGTCTAGGCTTAAATGTGAACCACAATGGATTTTATGCCAGTGATGGAGTCTGTTTTCCCATTTTAGTACTAAGCAAGTCTTCAGGAATTGTTTATTTAAGGCCCTTAGCTCCTGGTTCATCTTTGTGCACATCAACAGTTCTCTTTTCACAAACGCCTCCATATCTCATTTTGAAACAGGCAAAAGGGCTATTTTTTCATTCCCCTAAAGAGGCGAGCTGTCTTGATACAAATATTGATATCACTGTCTTGCTACAGCTGACTTCAGAATGGGCTCATGCTTCATATTGCATCGCATCAATGTTCTGTGAGAAGCACTCCTTCAAACCCTGGCTCCTACAGGTACAGGACTTTGACATCCTGGTTCAGTTCCCTGCAAACTCAAAACACAAGGAGGACCCTGAAGTTGCTATAATGTATTCTGTGGATTTTTCTCCTTGTGCTATGATTCATTAGTTAGTAACTGATGATGAGCTGATGAAGTGGTTCAGATCCTTCAGGAAAAAGGAGATCGCTCTGGGTTTTTTTTTCCTTTTTCTTAATTCACTCACTCCAATACAATAGGGAATTTCTTGGTCCGTGCTATTTGCACGTCAACACACCAGAGCAGAAAAGATTTGAAAGATGCATATATCACAGACTTTCTTAGAGGTGAGTTATGGAATTCAGTTTAAATTACAACTTACAACTATGTGTGAACAAGTCCTTTAATCCTTGTATTAACAGCCTTCAAGGAACTTCAAATTTATTCCCAAGCACAATTTCCAAGGATCACTACTTCTCAAGATAGCATTAGCTTTCAGGGGTGGTAAAGTGGAACTGAGTGAGTAACGTTTAGACTAATATTGCTTTTAAAGCACTGCTAACGTGCTTTAAGACAGAATGTGCTAAGAGCTTAACTGATGCAGGTGCTTAACACAAATCATAGCAAGATTCCTGTCTATATCGTTAGTTAAACTGAATGTCTTAGTTTATAAAAATCTATATTTTTATATGCTATATTTTCTGTGGGAAAGAAATGAGCTATTAGTTGACCACGACGTGCCACACACATTTATGCCAATACCCAAATAATGACGGTATGATATGATGTAGATATTATCTCGGAATCCACCAGGTGGCAGTGTCATGGTTTTCTTCTCATCGTGTCCTGAAACATTCGTTTTCTTTTAAAATATCTAAATGTCACCGGGAAATTTATCATCCCCATTTTGAAAAATCTGGAGAAGTTGTTGGGACATCTGCTTTATTTCCAAAAGCCAACAATGAGAAATGATTTTCTTAAGAAAAGGCAGAAGCCATTGTGCAAGGACGAGGAGCCTGGCTCCTTGTGAGGCATCTGTCGCGTTCCTGGGCGCTCAGCGCTGGGTGCCTGCACAGACTTGTGCAGGATGCTGAATTTAGGCGTGATCGTATCCTGACCAGGAATCAGAACATCATACCCTGAAAGCAGGCAGTCCTCAAAACCCATTTTCATTTTCAGTTGTAACAGAAATATTAAAAAGGAATGGCAATTTCTCTCTATTTCTGTTTCATTTAGAACATCTTATCCTGGCTTTGTTATTTAGCAAACCTACCAAATGGCAAGACTATGTTAATTTATATCAGATTTCTCTAATAAAATGCATCTTATTGGGAAAGTGGGATGCAAAATAAGACCATGAGTATGCTCATGAAAACACTGCAGTAAATTTTTCAAAATGTTAGAAATGCAGAACAACTAATACCTAAAGAAAGACACAGCCTTGTCCTCTTCTAGTCTTCCCAGGGCAATACAACTTCCCTATTGCAAATTAAGGAAAAGGTCATACAGAATTTAACAAGTGGCTTCACTTGAATCCCCTGACTCATATCACCTTTGCACTCGTGCTGTGAGCAATTGCTTTCAGTGCTGGCTGTGTGCCAAGGCAAAGCAGGATGGCCCGTGAAGCTTCCATCACATGGGAAAGGTTGATGCCATTGGGTAGGTCCCATCCATCAAGACCTGTCTTTTCTCCTAGGAAGATGGCTAACTAATGCAATCTTATTCAAACACAATATATCAACTCCAAATTTTTGTACAACCAGCATGAGCTTTCCTCCCTTGTTCCAGCAAGCCCTGCAGCATCCACCAGGGATGTGAAGGCAGGAATACACAAATAGAGTTGTTCTCAGCAAATGCTGTGCTGCACTGCCGGCTGGCTCGACCATCAGCTCCTTGCCAAATGACAAGCTAATAAGCTCCATGGTAGTTAGACACTAAGGACATCCCCCTCCTGGAAAGTTTCTGATTGAAAAAATGGTGATCTGCTTCATATAAAGCAAATGTTAATCAGGTGCTGGAACATTTAGGATATAAACAGCAAAAAGAAACAGGATAGCCCAGGTGTCTGTTTTGAAACAGTCTCCAACACCACAGTGGCAGAAAGTAGTCCAAAAGGATCTCGTTAGCCCTGCCTTTAATGAAAACTTAATGAAGCTGTTAATTTTCACAGCCAGTAACATTATCCATACAAATTTTGCTGCTCCTTCACTCTGAAGAAGGAGAGAGGACTCTAAGGTGAGGGTCTAATGTAACATTTCATAATGGAAAAAAAGCAACAGATGTTTTGGGACAAGAAATTTAGGAGAAAATTAGGAGCTGCGTAAGAGTTGGGGTTTTGTATTTTCATTTGTGGGTTTTGTCTGCTCTCTTTTTTGAAATAAAAATTATCTACTTCAAAATCTCTTGGAATAAACCACAGATAAAAAAAATTGATCAAGAATATTTCTACTGACTCTTGATCCAGATGAATTGGTTTGAAATCTCCATCTCTTGCATTTGCCTAGGTGCTTCCTTCACAGTAATCAGGCAAAAAAAAAATGCAGGTTCTTCTTTTCTAACTACCAGTATTCAGCTGACAGATCCAGAGAAGAAATACGTATGTCATGTATCTCATATGCAATATACAAAGAAAAACTGTTTTGTGTTTTAGATGAGCTGAATTACATTTTCAGATGTTAGATATCAGACGTTTCCCTCTGTGCTGCCATTAACTATAAGAGGAGGCCAGGCTGAGGATTCCAGCACAAACACACCTGAAAGTGTGCTGTGAAAGTGTCTCCAAACACACCTGAAATGAAGTGAGCAGAGTCTTGCCCAGGTGCGGGGAATGGAGCAAACCCACTCCTAGCACAGAGGCCACACCATGCAGGGGCAAGACCCTGGAGACCTTCCTTTCCTTCCTAAAAAGGAGCAGCCTTTCCTTTTAATCTCAAGCTACACCTCCTCCCTGGCCATTCCCCTGACATGTTTGTGTTGGGATTAGGCCTCTTCCCTGATTAATGCCGATAGGATTCGTGTGGTGAGACACTTTGCAGTCTTCTAAGATAAATAATGTTAACGGTTATTACATCATTAGTGTCATTAAAGAGCACTAGCACATACCAGCGAAACATTGGTAATATGTTTTAGCTCTGAGAAAAGCATCAATAACTAATTTGAGATGTAAAATTTCTATCATTACACATTCAGAAACTGGAAACACCCAACCTGTAGAGAAGCTTTCTGCAGGGGGCCTGGGTGCCTCCTGGTGCCTTCAGCTGAGCTCAAAAGCCAGCTTGTCTGAGTGCCCAAGAGGACCTGCTGCATTTGGTGACCAGGTGACCAGATGATCCAAATAACTAATTTCTTCCCTGAATCACAAGAAACACTTACAAACAGGCTATATAAGCAGCAAGATGCAAACAAGCTATTGACATACAGAGCAACAAGACAAAACAGAAGACTTGGCAAAAGGAAATATTTTCAGAATTGGCTGTGTAACCAACCAAATTTCCTAACTTCCAAGTTGCCCTTTTAATAGTATTTTGACATCAGGCTTCCTTTCCTGACCCATTTAGGCAGTGAAAAGATGTTTTCTTTAGGACTGTTGGACCTTCAGAAAGAGAATTCTATGTAAGACCTACTTTCCTCCCCCTGCTTCTCTAGAGGTTGCCTACCTGTCTTGTTTTAGACAAAGCAGTGGTTTTCTCTGTTCTGCAGTCCCTCCTTGGTAAAGTGAAGATAATAGTGCTTCTTATTTCAGAAGTAGTTTTTGGGGTAGATTAAGACAGCAGGATTTTGAGATGTTCTTCAGTGCATTAACATGGGAGACAGATATTGGTGAAAGAGCTTATGTAACAAAGAAGAAGAAAGAGTAAAATCTTGTCTCTTATTTGGGAGTCAAACTTTGGGAGCTAACGTGGGAGTCAATCAGAGCTGGATTTGTCCTGATGGTAATTGCAGCTTTTAGGGGATCATTTAAATTGTCTGTCAAATGAAAATATTTCTGTATAATGAGCATGCTATTAAAAACATCCCTGGCAGACCGAGGGCAGACACAGCCACCATACCTATGAGGGGCTGGCACAGGCACATGGCTCCAAACGAGTCGTGTGGGATGGCTGTGCCCAGTGCCTGGGCCACTGCCATGGGCATGCCTGATCCTCCACAAGCATTTTTTGTTCGTATTAGAGATAAAATGAAGCCAAAAGAAGTGACCAAAATCAGAATGCTTGCTCATTTTTTCCTCAGAGTTTGCCTTGAGACCACCTGCTAGAAAGACTCCACGTCATCAAGTGGAGGAAAGCAGAACATAAAACTACACTGATGGAGTAATCTCTTTTGGTTTGGCTCAGCATCACCTAGAAACTACTTATTTGATTTGAAAATGCTCCTAACTGCAAAATAAAACTTTAAACTCACCTGAGTGCTTGCTGTGGTGTTAAACGTGCCTTCTCTCTGGATGTCACACAGCACTGCTAACAGCTCCCAGTGGAATACAACAGGGAAAGTTTCATCAGCAGTACAGGGACACTCTGATTTTGTGTCTATTTGTGAAGAAACATTCCCATCAGTGTGGATGTATTGTTATATGCACAAGTATTTTCTGGCTACACTAACATGGGTGTGCTCCTGCCTAATTTTAAATAATGGGATTTTAACGTTGACTTCATTCCCTGCAGTATTAAATTCATAATCATCACATGAGTGTAATTACATTATGAAAGTTATTGAAAGGAATAATCTCCTATCAAGATTCTTATGAGCTGGGCTCTATCCTAAACCAGCCTTATGAAATACAGCTCTTGGCAAATATCATATGCTTACATCATGACAGAATCAACAATGTTATTCTAAAGCTCACTTAAAAAATGCAGATTCTTTAATGATAATGGACAAATCTAGTCCTGACTTGCAATTGGCTTTGTCACACAATACTTTTCCTTAACTTTTTAAAAAAGTATTAAAGCAGGTATGTAAAATGTAACACCTTCTAAACCACATCTGGGAAATACCTCATATTTAATGACATTAAGTAAAAAGCATTTTTATAACTATGCTCTTCGTGGCCAGGAGACATTTAGTACAATTTGATGCAGACGTGTGCGTAAAGAACCAGATTTTATAAATCAATAAGTAATTCTGCATATAAGACCCTAGGGATGGTAAAAAAAAATTGCTGATAACGTGGATACAGCTCCCCAAAACAGGCAAATTCCCACTAAACTAAAGCAGCTGGAGGTTTTGCCAAAAATCTCCATTTTGGTCATTGTGGACAACTAAAACGCGAGCTCTCAGGACTGCAAATATTTATGGATAAGATTAATTTCATTCCTAAATGTTCTCTAACACTTTTTTCTTCTCACTTGAACGTTTAGCCAAGGAAACAAAAGTCAACACAGCATCTATTTTTCCTGTATTCCCTGGAATTTTATGGAACTTTTATACGGATAATCTGTGTTTTAAAAGTGTTTTCCTCTCTCTCCCATGTTGAAATAGCATAAAGAGCAAAAAAAAAAAAAAAACTTCCAGTTATTCTGATGATAAGCAAAGTGCTATAAATGCAAGAAGTAAGTGTGAGGAAAATAAAATGATTTTTTTCTCAAACTTTTCTGGGTTTTACCCACCTGGGATACTTACAGCAGCATTACCTGAGGCAGCAGTATCCTGAGATGCTTTCAGATGGAGGAGATATCTGAAGGCGACGGTTCTCCAGAAGCTTGCAGGAACTCAGTGAAGGGGCCAGGTGTGCAAACAGCGCCCTGTGGAGCTGCGTGGTGAGCTGTGAGATTTGGCACAAGCACAGAAACCAGCCTGCAGATGCCCATGACACCATCAGACCCAGGTACGTGCCTCACTTTAGGTGTATGTGAATCTCTAGTGAAGCTTACATCCTTCCTGAATTGGCTGAACGAGGCCAAGCATCAGTTCACCCATGCTTACATGTTAGTGCAGGCACAGCCTCCCCCTGCCCACCAGGTGCACACATTGCTGGAGGCAGGACTTGTCCCTCTGCTTTTAAACAGGCAGATTTTCTATTTCCAGCCTGGTCAATGATCTGTCTGCTGTGACCTTTGTAAACACAAACGGCAAAGCAAAGGGAAAAAAAAACCCAAAACGCTGTGCTGCAGTCACAGCAGTCAGGATGAAAGGAAGCTCATGGAAACTTTCTAGCAGCCAGTGCGCAGAAAATCCTGCAATGCTGGAAATGGCACAAGTAGTGATTTTACTACAAGTGCTATGTCAAAATAAGGAGGGAATTTATTAAAAATCTACTGAAAAGTATGTTCAGAAACAGTTATCAGACTTTTTAAAGACAACTGAATGAGCAATAATGCTGAAAATACGAATCTGATAGCAAATTCCTCACTGTGTAAACATCTTGCTTTTGACTATCATAGGGTTTGTTTCCAGTTAAATAAACAAATGAGCTACCAGAGTGGTACATGTATGATATAGGTTTGGGATTTTTGCCTCGTCTGTCTGAAACAGTTCACATGCTGGAAAAGTCTTGAAAAAGGCTTGAAAGCCTTCTCTCCTGCTGTTTGAGCTCTCCAAAGGCACCGAGGGCTACTGCAGCTGAATCCATTTCAGGGATGTGAGCATAAAATCATAAAGGATATAGCTTTTCATCCATTAAATGATTTCTTGGTTTTGTACACTCAAAGATACTCATTCCAGGATTTAATGTGTTTCAACATAGCTTGGAAGGGAAGCACAGCCGAAGTGGGAGCGGGGCTGCAATCCACACCATCTCCTCCCAGCTCCCTGCTGCTTTCCAGAGGGCGAGGAGCCACCACGCTTTAAATGCATATAAATCTCGGCTGCTGCGAGCCCACCCTCCTCCATGGTCCCTGACCCCATCCCTTTGCAAGCACTAGCACTCATGTTACTCATAGCAGATGCATGGAAGGAGCTGATCTGCCTGTAAAATAATCTTTGTTCTTTCAAGTGATTAATTTCTCCTGGATTCCTGAACTCTGTGTACCAGCTGCCCACATGCTCATCGAGCCCTGGGGCTGGTACAGCAGTGGGCAGACCCCTGGCCATGCAGTCTTCACGTGCAGTGACCACAGTCATACTTTCCTCTCTTCTCAGCTTCGCTGATGCCTGCACTGCTCGGGTTTGGGATTCACTCAGTTGTGGTGTTCAGTAGGAACGTTAAATCCAGAAGGATAAACAAAGAGAATAAACATCACCACAAAAATAAAAAAAAGTGTTTCCGTTTGCTCCATCAGTAAATGCAGAAAAGAAACCACAGGTGGGAATGTGCTCAGCTACGATCTTAATCTCAGCCTGGTGATTCCATACCAGCCAGACCTGCCCAGGGTAACTCAGTGGCCAGAGATGAGGGTTTCCACCTGGGGACATCTGCAGCCCTCAACCGCAGGCTGAAATTCTCCTAGTGCCGCTGTTGATCTTCTCACAGACAAACATGCAATACTTACTAAGCTTTCATTATCCATGGGCTTAGTTAATAAATACCTAAATAATAAATAAATAAATAAACACGAAGTGCAGGGATAACCAAATCTTTGGAAACTACACTTCAAAGTGTCAGTTGTGACACTTTATTTGGTAGGTGCTCTTGTCCCACTCTGAGCTGTGGTCGTGCTTCTTTCAGTGCCCAGCCCACGTGGGGGTTTTAAGCCCAGGAAGTACTGAAGCTAAGGATAGATTATATCAGACCGACTTGAAGTGATGAAATAATCGGAGGAAAAGTTGCCTCAGGTACAACTCCTCCCCAGAGCTGCCCCGGAGCTTCACCAGGCTGCCTTGAACTGAGTGAAGGGCTGCAGCTATGACAGTCCCACATCACCCCACAGGTTGGCTACAGATCACTGTTCTGTAGGGCAGTTGGGATCAGTGCAGTCACCTAAGGCTCATTTTTGCACCTTGAAGGGTGCTGCTGCAGGAGGCTGCCTGATACCCACCACTCAGCTCAGCTCTAGTGATCTTCTCCCATATTCTTAAGCTTTAAATTGATTCATTCCCACTGTCGTGCTCCTGGTGAAATCATTTACCCATGAGAAAGCCCTGCTAAGTCAGAAGTCTCTGGAGTCTCACAACGACATTTACATTTTATATTCGCTTCCAGAGGTGTGAGTGATGGCAGCAGAGGGCAAAGACTGAACATGCTGATAGTGCTGTATAGATGTGGTGCCATATAGCGTGATTTGGTTCTACATAAATGCATTTTTTTAACATATGATTGGTTTAAAAAGGGGGATAAGTCCAGATTCAGAGAGACAGTCAAATATCTTGTCCTTATTTAAATTAAATAAAAATTGAGTACCAAGGTGAGTCTGGATGTTATACTCCATCTTACCACCTGCTCTTAAGATAACCAAATCTTAAGCTCTGAGTAAGATATTCGGTCATAATCAGACCTGCTGGACTGAATCTGCCCTCTTATTAAGTTCCTGGTGTACTATTGCTAATGCACTGAAGTATAAATTGCACTGTTTTCTCCTTCCTCCTTGCATCTTAGAGATCAGCGTAAGCATAGCCTTACAATTCATGTCTCTAACTGAACGTCTCTTTTGTTGGACAAGTTGTTGTACTCCTCAGCTCCCTATCTCTAATCACATGAGAGCAGCATGTGCCCAAACTCCCACGGGTGAGCTCTGGCTCTCTGCTGAACATATCACGTCGGCTGATGCTCCTTTACACTTTTGAATTGCTTTCTTCCAGTGCCATCATCTTTCTGAACTGTGCCACAACTGCTATTTCTGCTAGCACTCTTAGTAGTGTGCAGATGACCAGTCCTTAGAGACAGGCATGAGGAAAAGTTGTGGTGAAAGCACAGTGGTGAATAGGGAAGTAGCAGAGTGACTGCTTCACCTGAGCCTTGAAGATGCCTCGAGCCTCCAAGAAACTGCTCATGGTGCATATATACCACTGCAGGAATAGTAAAGGGAGGATTATCAGAGCCCTGCTGCAGTGTGGCTGTCTCATGCAGCGAAGCTAAAATAACATGGCACAAGCATGGTCAGAATGGAAAGGAAACATCTGTTTCTCCCTTGTACATGAGTGACAATCCATTTGTTAGCTGCAGAATAACACTGGCTGTCCCACTGGTAAGGGCTGAGCGCTGGCTGCCCAAGCCCAGGCAGGTGTGTCAGTGCTGGGAGCAGAGGGGCTGTCCTTGTGGGGTGGACACCGGGCTGAGAGCTGTTTCTTTACCCCATTCTTTCAAAAGCAAGACGAGGGATTCATCCAAATTTGGTGTAACACTATGGATGCACACTAATGACTTGATCAGGAATCAAAACCCAGTGAGCAGTACTATGCAGCCGTGCATTTCCCACCACGAGCTGACATTCTGCTTCTCAGCCTTCCTTCTCTGACTACTGTTGAGTATTAATGGAAGTAAAGGTCACCAAAGCATGGACAGGTTCCCAGTGCCTCCAAACAACAGGATGGCATCACTGGGAACATTGCCTCACTGGTTACTTGTTAGCAATTTCAGCTCTCAGGGCACCGAAGAGACAGGCTTTGTTTTCTCTTGGTGTAGCTTTTCTGTGTTGCTAACTCACACTGGACAAGAAGACAGGAAGCACATCCCTCCTGTAGGCACTGCACCTCTTTTATTGCCACGTGCTCTTTTTGCTATCTGTTGTCAGTAACAGATACTGAGCAGGAAGGATTTCACAACTTAAACACGTAAAAGGTTACACACTGTCTCAATTACATGTTTGCCTTTGCAGATAAGTTTAGTATAAATTAGTTATAAATTAGTTTATAGCTTCGTTCCACATCTTTATCACCACTGCCAAAAGCTCATAGGAAAAGGAGACAGACAAACTGCGAGTGCTGCTGCAGCAGATTGGTGGCAGGGTGGCTCACTGCTGCTGAAAGCACCGTGCTGATGTGCAGCTCTGTGCACACACACGTCACGGACAGCCTGGGCCTACAGCAAACACATGCGATGCTTTATTTGATTTCCCTTTCAAAACGTTTTGAAGGAAGGGCTGACATTTTTCCCATGGTTAATCATGGAACTGGGCACCACTTCGTGCAGTTCCTCTCACTTTACTCATCCAAAACATTCAACGGTCCAAACGGTGTGATTAAGGGAAGGAGAAACGGGGCCAAAAAAGGAAACATGAGGAGTGAAAATAGATGTCTCCCATAACTTCTATCAGAACATGAAGCCCTTTGCTAGAAATCTGCTTTAAATCAGGAGCTGCTGAAACCCATCAGCTCGGGGAGATGGCTCTTGAGTGAGGGCCAGGCTGTTGGCCTCTCTCCATGCTTCAGTTTCTCAGCACCTGTGGGAGACACCTCGTGGGCATGGAGGGAGAGCCCCAGTGCCGGGCTCGGAGCCTGGGGGATGACGTGAGGAGGCAGCTCGGTGCTGCGCGCCTGTGCGCAGTGAGGCCAGTTACACCGAGAGGCAGCTCGACAGCCTCTCGGGCGTTGACGCCACGACGCGGTCGGTGGGGGCTCAGCTCTTTTGCCGCCGTGCGGGGCCGGGACAAGGAGCGCAGGTGCCTCGGCCTTCCTTCCCTCCCTCTTGCGTGCGATTTTCTCATCCCTCGGACGTAGTCCCCGTCCCCGCCGGGAAAGGAACGGGGAGCGCCATCCACACGTGCGGGAGCCCTTTCCCTCCTTCCCCCCCGCCGACTGCCGAGCCGCGCGCCGCGGTGAGTCACCGGCAGGTCAGCCCCTCGCCTAGGGGCGGAGAGACCGAGGGGACCGCCGCCGTACCGCTGGGAGCCGCCACCAGCGCGCCGGAGGCGCCGGAGGGAAGAGCCGCCCCGCAGCTCAGGTGCCGCCGGGAGGCCCTCGCCCGCAGCACCGCACCGCAGCCCAGGTAAGGGCGGCAGCACGGACAGCGGGGCTGGAGAGGGAGCTCAGAGAGGAGCGAAGGAAGGGGGCAGTCCCGGGGCGCGTAGGTGTGCCGGGCTGCGCCCCGCCCCGCCCCACCCGGCCGGGCTGGGCCGGGCCGAGCGCCGGAACGGGGAGCGGGAGCGGTTGCCCGCCCGCCGGCCG